CTGTTGGAGACCAAAATGGCCGACCATAAAAAACTGGCTGAGGATCTTCAGTTTGATCTGATAATCCAATCACCGACCATTGGTCTATCTGGGGGGGGATTGTGATTATGTGGAAGGAGGACAACGTTAGTGTAAATGAGGTGGTCACCACCCCTCAAGGTATCCATGCCATGGTGAAGGTGCTCCCTAACCATACTCCTTGGTTATTCTCTGCTATTTATGCTAGTAATAATTTAGCAGATAAGAAACTCCTCTGGGAGAACTTAATTACCATCTCCAAAACTCTCACATACAACTGGTTTATGGGAGGAGACATCAATGAAGTCTTGAAAGCTAGGGACAAATTTGGGGGCAACCCGATAAACCCTAGTCGCAGCAACATGTTCTGGAATTGCATTAATGAATGCAAACTTTTAGACCTAGGCTACAAAGGTAGTAAATTCACTTGGTCTAATAAGAGATACAACAATAGGGTCTCTCTGATCCTTGAAAGAATAGATAGGTGTTTTGCCAATGAGAGTTGGATCTCACAGTACCCTGAGACTACTCTGTTGCACCTACCTAGGACCCACTCTGACCACTGCCCCATCCAAGTTATCCTAAAAGGGAAACCCTCCAATAACTTGACTAGACCCTTTAGGTTTGAAACTATGTGGGCTAGCCACCTAACTTTCCCCAGTATCATCAATGAGGCCTTCAACGAAAAATTCCACCCTTCTACAATCCACTAAAGTCTTTCAAGAGAATTGTGACACAGTGGGACAGAGATACCTTTGGCAACATTTTTCATAAAAAAAAAAAAGAATCTTAGCAAGAATTGTACGAATCCAAAGATCCCCCAACTATCAATTCAGCAGTTACCTGTTAAACCTAGAAAACAACCTTTTTAGTGAGTTAGACTCAATTTTAAAAAATGAAGAGGACTTGTGGAAGCTCAAATTTAGGATTAACTGGCTTCGTGAGGGGGATGCCAACACCAAATTCTTCCACACTTCCACTCTTAATAGAAGAAGAAGAAGAAACTGAATCCTTTCTCTCAAAGATGAGAGTGGGAATTGGCTCTATGACCAAAAAGACATCCAAACATCCATAATGAGCTTCTACCAACCTATATACCTCCCCCCACTCTCAAGCCCCCATCTCCACCACCAGTCAACTAACAATGTCTCATACCCTTTCTGACTCCCAAAGAGACAGATTGGACATGCCCCTTGAGATGGGGGAAATCAAAATGGTTATCTTCTCCCTCAAGCCTTTTAAGGCTCCTGATCCTAATGGCCTCCACCCTTTCTTCTATCAAAAGTACTGGAGCATTGTGGGCAACTCTGTCTCTGACTTCTGCAAAAAATGCTTCTCTACTAACTCCATAGAGGAGACCATGAACCAAACTCTGCTCTGTCTCATCCTAAAATTCCCCCAAGCCTCAATGCTGAAAAACTTCAGACCAATTGGACTTTGCAACACAATCTAAGTCCATCACCAAGATCATTGTTAATAGAATCAAGCCAATGCTACCTGATATCATAGGGCCTAGTCAGGCCCATCTCCTTTCTAATAGAAGAGCCTCTGACAATGCTATCATTGTGCAAGAGTACATCACTCATTTTAGGAAAGTGAAGGGGAAACAAGGCAACATGATCCTCAAACATGATCTAGAAAAAGCCTTTGATATGCCGGAATGGTCCTTCATCAGGGACACACTCCATACTTTCAACTTTCCCTCGAGGTTGACCAAGCTCATTATGTCTTGCATTAGCTCTTCCAGCATCTCAATCCTTGTTAATGGAGGGAAGGCTGAAGCCTTTAAGCCCTCCAGAGGCATCAGACAAGGAGATCCAATATCTCCTTATCTTTTCATAATGTGTATGGAGAGGCTATCCAGGTCAATAGACAAGGTAGTTCCAGACAATCAATGGCAACCCATAAGTATCAGCAGGTCTGATCCTAAAATATTGCACCTCCATATACTCAATCTTGCAGTCCTTCAATGAGAGCTCAGGTCAAAAAAATCAATCTTACTAAGTCAAGAGTGCTATTCTCCTCCAACACATCCCAGGATACCATGGAAAACCTCACCAATGCTCTATCAATCCAAGCTACCACCTCATTTGGTAAATACCTTGATTTTCCCATCTTCCATAAGAAAGCCACTAGTGCAGATTTTCAGTTCATAATTGATAATATGCAATCCAAACTGGCTGGCTGGAAAACCAGTTGTCTCAACATGACTGGCAGGACCATCCTGGCCAAGTCTTCCCTAAATAGTATCCCTAACCATGTCATGTAGTATATCAATTTGCCCACTAAAATCACCAAACAAATTGATAGAATCCAAAGGAACTTTATCTGGGGCACCACCCCAGATAGGAAAAAAATGTATCTAATAAACTAGGATATGGCTACTAAAAAGAAGGTCGATGGAGGGTTAGGACTCCAAATGGCTTATTTGAAAAACAAAGCAGCCCTTGCAAATCTGGCATGGAGGACTTATCACAACACAACAAGCTTATGGGCCAGAGTCCTCATCTCTAAACATTGTAATTGGAACCATACCTTTAGATACCCTAAATATCTCCTACCTGGCAATGCATCCTCAAGGGATGGGATACTCGCAGGAAGGCAATTAGATGGGTAGTCCATAAGGGAAACATGGTTAACTTCCTGAATGATGCTTGGATCCCTAACTGGCCAGCAATTAGGTACATAATTGAAGGCTCCCTTTCTCAAAATGATCTAATTGCCAAAATAGACATTGTCTACAAATCATGGATTTGGGATTTATGGTAGACAAATCATGGATTTGGGATTTTTCTACCATATCCATGGACCGCCACCAAGCATCTCCAGCATGATCAATTCTGTCTTCATACCCCCAAATCCTACCAAAGATGACAAAGTAATATGGGGATTAACTGCTAGTGGGTATTTCACCAACAGCTTTGCTTACCCCTTCCTTAGCAAAACCAAAAACAATGTTGAAATAGAAGAGGAAAAAATTTTCAATTGGATCTGGAAACTTCAAACACCCAACAAAATCAAGAAATTCATCTGGCTTCCTACCCACAAAAGATTACCTACTGGAGGCTACCTTCACAGAATTGGGGTTAACTGTAACCCAATGTTGTTTTTGCCACAATTTTGAAGAAACAAGCGACCACATCTTCTTTGATTGCATAAATGCAGCCCAGTTCTGACAAGATTTACTATCCAGAGCCTCCATTGAGAGTAGGCAACAGAACTCCACCTTTTCACCCCAACACTGGGTCACCACTCGAAATACATTTAGAAAAAAACCCTTTAATGGTCACATTCTTTGGGAAAACACCCCCCCTTTTTTGTTTCTGGCATATTTGGCTATGCAGAAACCACAACTTGTTCAATAACAAAAAAGATAGAATCAACACTGCCAACACCATCTCTAAAGCTACTGAATATTTTATGTTGGTAAAAAATACTTCTACCAAAATAACTTTCCAAATCACTGTCAAATGGGAGCCACCCAGAAGAGGTTCCTTTAAGCTGAATACGGATGGGGCAACAAAGGGCAACTCAGGAATAAGTGGTGTATTCAGAAATCATAGTAGAGATTGGATAATGGGGTGTATGGAGAATATATCATGTACAACAAACACTTTAGCTGAATTGAAGGCTCTCCTGAAAGGACTGCAATTTGCTGAACAAAACAATTGGGTCCCACTGGACATCAACACTGACTCGGCCGAAATCATACAAATGCTAATCACAGGTAACCTAACATATGATCCTATGATTTGTGAATGCAGGTTATTAATACAAATGATGGGCAGCCACCATGAATTAAGTAATTGTAGGGACATTGAGATCGACGAAGTCATGGAGGCAATGCGTAAGATGAGAAGGGGCAGAGCTACCGGGCCAGACGAAATTCCGGTTGAACTGTGGATGTGTGTGGGTAGAGCAGGCTTGGAATGGCTTACTGCATTGTTTAGTGTTATATTCAAGATTAATAGGATGTCTGAAGAGTGGAGGTGGAGTACAATGGTCCCGTTGTATAAAAACAAGGTGATGTCCAGAGCTGTAACAACTATAGGGGCATCAAATTACTAAGTCATACCATGAAAGTNGGAGGACATGGCCCTTGACAGGGAATTATGGAGGTCGAACATTAAAGTTGTAGGTTAGGGGAAAGTTGTGAATATTTCTACAGCACAATAGAGTGAGACTAGCCAGTTAGGAGTTAGACTAAGAATGTCATTGGTCGGCTATTGATGCAGGGCTTTACTTGCTAGTTTTACTATACCAGTCATCTATTTCGTATTTCGTATTCTGTATTTCATATCTCTTATATTGCTGTTATTTTATTATGCATTTTTATGGCACTAATATATCGGCTCCTGTTGCTTTTTTGAGCCGAGGGTCTCCTGGAAACAGCCTCTCTACCCTTCGGGGTAAGGTCTGCGAACATATTACCCTCCCTAGACCCCACTTGTGGGATTATACTAGGTCGTTGTTGTTGTTGTAATACAAATGATGGGCAGAGTCATGGTGAAGCACACATACAGGGAACAGAATAGGGTGGCGGGTGCAATGGCAAAGGAAGCAGCGAAGACGGTTTTTTGGGGCAAATCCAGCCTACTACCAGTTCCTCCGATGTTTGCTAATAATATTTTTTGGGCAAACATCCTAGGAACTAAAGTTTTTAAGGATCTTGTGGCATGTAATATTGACTCCATATCTCAAAACATTGCAATGCTGGGGTTCTACAATACTCCAGCAGTGACACTACTGTATAATATATTTTGTCTACTAGTCATATATAAATATCCATCTCTAACCCAAAAAAAGAAGGGAAAAAAACAGGGTGCATTAGTTAGCTATAGCATGTAAAATTTCCATAAAATAAAGCAATTCAAGAACATTTTGCATATATAAGTCAATACACCATTCCACTGCTGAAAAATGACTCAAGGTTTTGCTAACAAGAGATGTCGAACGAGAATTTAACCAAGGGAGTTTGAAAATAAAATAGAATATAACTGCAGATTTGAGCAAGCAAACAATATATTTACTATGTATACTAACAACAATCTAAACAAAAAATTGCAGGGAAGTACAACAAAGCACTAAATAAACTAAAAGAAGATGTAAAAGCAAGATGGCTCAACTCAACAGCAAGTCTTGATCCAATGGTCGGACTGCATTATATGCAACCACTTACAAACTTTTATAAGAGGCTTGCTGTTGGATTATTCTAATTTAGAAAGCGGACACAGAAAAGAGTAATTGCGAAGGTCAAGGAGGAGAGGAGAGAAAATACAGATATTTATACAAGAGTGATTCTGCCAACTCTTCGTATCTTTACTCTTCAGCACCTTCGCTAACCTTGATCTCCAAGAGGCGCTCAACTGGCTGCCGACAAATAGGACAGCGATTTGTCTGGAACCTCAAAACCTTTGCACATCCGCTGCACATACACTGCATCAAGAAAGATACTCAATTATGTGATCAACAATAAACAAAACTTTTGTTAATTGAAAAACCTAGCAACAGGTACCTCATATATATTGGCTTGTTCAATCAATAAATGTCTAAAGGGAAATGCATGGAAAATACAGCAACAACAACATCATACCCAGTATAATCCTACAAGTGGGGTCTAGTGAGGGTAGTGTGTACGCACACCTTACCCCTACCTTGTGGAGGTAAAGAGGTTGTTTCCAAAGACCCTCGGCTCAAGGACAAAATGAAAAGGAGAAGCAGCAATAAGCAGTAACAACAACGATATAGTAACAACAGCGATATAGTAAAATAACCAAAATAATTGAAGCGAAAGAAATAACAGGTAGAAATATAACTACGAAAAAAGAAAAGGAAAAAGAATACAAGATTAATACTACTGCCACAGGGATGACAACGGAATACACTCAACTACCCTCTAACTTGCCACAGGCTAAATGATGCTTAAAAATGATATGTCTGCTACCCAGTATCTTTCTATTGACATCTTAAATCACTCAAACTATACTACATAAATTCACGAAATTGCAGATATTGGTGAATATATTGAGACCAACACTCAACACAAATTGTTAACAAAGGGTAGGAGGCATACCATGTGCCGACATGGAAGTACAGTAGTGTCCCGAGGTTCAGAGAGGCATATCACACATTCTTTCCCGGGATCATTTCCATCAAAGTCGCTTTCAACTGAATTACCAATCCCATATATCTCTTGCAATTCATACCTCATGCCATTGACCCAGAGGATTTGCTTCACCACCCTAACATGGTACTCACCTTTGTCCTTTTCGAAAATTGCTTGAGTAATCTGTGAATTAGTGGACCCTGCCGCTGCACTCCCATCCTCTGATCCACTGTGGCTATCTGGTGATGCCTCCGCCTTAACAGCAAGTGGATACACATCCGCCTCACCATCTTTGGACAATTCTACTTCTTCAAACATTGAAAGATCAATGCCAGTTCCGGAAGGTTGCCTAAACTTCTGAGCTAAACCTTTTTGAAACTCAAAAGTTACTGGTGGAAGCAAGCTTTCCTTCATAGGAGTCAAGCAACAATCTTCACCTTCTTTTGCAAAGAAAATGACAGTCATGCTGCAAAAGAACGAAGTTCAAGACATACTTTTGATTATCTCACGTTGAAAGCACTTCCATAACACTTAAAGAATCAATAATATATTACCAAGCAGTAAGAAATGACTACAATTTTCAGTAACAAACAAGCACAAAGCAACTACTTTCATTTAATAAGTCCAACAGCCGTCAACATTGTAGATGCTACTCTAAGAGTCAGCAACAGATGACTGAATACAGAGAACAACAACAACAACAACAACAACAACGACAACGACCCCAATGTAGTCCCACAAGTGGGGTCTGGGGAGGGTAATGAGTACGTGGCCTTACCCCTACCTTGAAGGGGTAGAGACGTTGTTTCCGATAAACCCTCGCCTCCAAGCAAGCATGCAAAATCACAACAGTATGGAGAAGAAATGCAGTATTGCTAAAGTCATGGAAGCAGTAACGACAACAAGATAGTAGAACAACCAAAACACGCTGAATATAGAGGAGTGAGTACAGTTTCCACACGACCAACAAAGAGAAAGAAACCACCTTCATTAATTTTTTCCAAGGTAACAACTACCACCTTTATTGATCCCTTGTTATTGTATTGTGAAAGCATATCAGGTCTCAATCTTTGGTGATTAGCGTCTCAGCTTGCAGTATGAAACACCATTATGGAACTCTTAGACACGCGAGATAAATATATGATGTATTCATAATATGAACTAATTGATTCTAGTATATTACTATCACTTTAGAAAGATGAAGATCTAGTTGATAATTAAAGTACTTATGTATCCAAATCTCAAATGATACTCCATTTATTTCTTCTAACTATGCATCTCAAGATGAGATTCTACAGATCATATCCTTTTTTACAACAAAGGGATAGCTGTAAGGAGAGCAGTACAGAAATCGACTACACAAATGAAGGACATGCTGACAAAACGATACTTAACATCTCCCACCCGTTTTCATCAAAAGAGAAAGCAATAATCCATATTAGTCCAGTATACAGTTTTGCCCATCAGAAAAATAGTGTCAATACAGATGGAGTAGAAGACCAAAGTACTGATTACTACTCTGAACATCAGTGCTTAAAAGGAGACCCTTCAAATTATTGTACACGAGTAATTATTAATTAGAATCAAACGCTTATTCAAATGACCTAAAGTAGTACTAAATCATGCTCTACAGGATGCTCAAAGATCAGCAGCAGAACTTTCTCATTTATTACTATTTTTAAATATACACATTCATCTAATCCTCCAAGGTTGTTATACAGATTGCTGGACTAGCAACAAAAAAAAAGATTCCATTACTGTGCAGATCAGGTTTCCAGATTCTCTCTCGACAAAGTATCAATCGGCAGCTATCATATTGGTGATTGTAAAAAGGTTGCCTCACCGAAGGCACGAGTATAAATAAATCCCGCAAACTCAATAGTCCTTATCCTCTTAGTGTATATAAGTTCCTAAACTAATGAATGATTAGAAAGTACAAAACTTTCTTGGAATAAAATAAATCCACTATACCACTCCCTCTGTCCCAATTTTAGACCGACACTGATCCCAATTGTAACGAACATTCCAAGATGTTCGACACCATTCTATTGAAAATTTAATTAACTTTACATACTTCAGGAACTTAAATTCAGTTGCCTATTCAAATTTATACTTTTTTCTAATGACAGTGATGTCGGAGCCCAACTTATGCACACCTCGACTAATCCACAGGCTACCTGCTGCTATCTCCCATGACCTCCCACCAGCACAAATGCCGGGTAGCTCTATTCAACCATCAAATTTAAACTTTAATCTTGTGTTTTACATATCAAACTAACTTCCAAACCATTATTTCACTATTTTGTCCACACTACTAACATAATATCAATGTCAAGTTAAGTCTTTAACTCCGCAGTCCGACCCTATAAGAAACAATCAAATTAAAGAATTCACGGGAAAGGCACCAAACTGAAAGTCCTATATATCGAATTCTCTTCAATTTTAAGACCAAGGCCTAAACCACTACAAAGATTTCAGTACACTTCAACAGACAAAGATCCAAGATACATGAATAATAACCACAACTAACTACTACTATTACGACTCAATTCTAAACAAGCTAGGGTTTGCTATATGAATCCTCACTGACCATGTTACTCCATTTAAATTCATCTCAGGCCAATTTGCATAAATTTCATAAACAAGCAAACATGAAAAATAAAAATAAAAGACATTTTTTAAAATATTTAAGAAGCAGTACCTCCCAGGAACAGTGGCATCAAAAGTGAAAGCCACAAGGTATTTGCCAGGGTTATCTTCATCAGGCTCAATCCTTAAAGTCTCCTTCTTCAAATTAACATCATTTCTTATTGTCACAGCTTTTTGATGCTCCACATATGGTGCAGGCGGAGGCATCATCGGCCCACACGGGTACCGCCCCGGCCCGTTAACCCAATTAGCATGACCCGGGTGGTTGTCCATCCTATGATGATGATCATAAGGAGCCGGTAACGGCACGGGCATCGCCGGCGGGGGCGGCGGATAGTAACCCGGGTATTGATAATACGGCGGAGCATTAGGGTTTGGGTATTGAGCAGGATAAGGTGTGGCCGCCGCGAATACGTACCGGTTCGCGCTTATCTCCGGCTGCGGAGGTTGTGGTGGTGGAGGCGGTGGTGGATGGCTCCTCCGGCTACTGCTCCGTCGCCGGCCGTTCACACCACTGCTTCCCATATTACCCATCTTATAAAAATTCAATCTTTTTTACCCCCAAAATCAAGAAACAATTTTTACAAAATTTGATCAAACCATTAATCAAGATTAACACAATTTCCGACACCCTTTTGCCTTTTTTGTCAATTTAAGAAACACCCAGATGAAAATTCACCCAAAATTATGGATTTTTTTAGGAAATGGGGGTTTGAGGAAACAGAAGAAGAGAAACAATAAGATTATTAAGGAAGATAATATAGGTAATAATAAAGATAATTAATGGAGTAAGTGGAAGAGGAATCTTATGATGGGTAGGGCAAGAGCAGGTATTATGGGATTGCGTAAAGTTCCACCATCAACAGTATCAAGGATTAGAAGGAAAATGGAACAGCTTTCTCTTTTTCTGCATACATATCCTCTCTTTTTATCAATTCTTTAATTCTTTTCTTTTCTTTCTTTTTATGTTCTTTTTTTGTCACCTTTTTTTGTGAATGAGATTTGAGGTGAGGATTTGGAAAAGCACTATGTAATTATCCTGATTTCATTAGGTAATCCATGTTTATTCAAGTTGATTGCCCCTAATGTACGCACTTCTCTTCCCCTACCTCCACAATTTAACCTTTTCTCTTTTTAGCAATGGTTTGTTAAAATCTTCTAAATTTGACATTATTTATTAGGTGCACACTTGAATAACTTTTAGTTTAGAGCCCGTTTGGACATAAGAATTTTTTTACTTTTTTTAAAATAAAATATTTTTTTCAAATTCGGTGTTTGGTCATACAATTTTCAATTTTCACTGAAGTTGAATTTTGAATTTTTTCGAAAATTGAAAAAAAACTCCAAAAAGCTACTTTTTAAAATTTTAATTCAGATCACTCACAAAAATTTAAAAACAACCCAAAGTTATATTCATGTCCAAACATAACTCTAATTTTTAAATATTATTTTTACTTAAATTGTTTTTCACTTTTTTAGAATTTTACAATTTTTATGTCGACGCTCACTTAGTTAGCCTTAGGCTAGATACCCTATAGCTCCTGGACACTTAACGTAGCAAAGAAAGTGAATATATAATTTTTTAGGTGTGTAGGGAGTGAAAAAAAAAATCAAAAGAATAATTTTCAATTTGGATATTTATATTAAACACCCTCCATCTCCGTTCATAAATATGTGGTTCCAGTCATCAGGAGAACAATGTGGGAAACTCATGAGAGAGTGTGTATATATATATATATATATGGTACGCGCGTTGCGCATGTACCTCATTTTAATAAGTATAATTTTTTAAAAATTAGAGTCTTGTTTTAAAATTTTTCGTGAGTGCGAAGACTCTATTCGTATCCATACCGAGACCGATCTTTGCTATTAACTCTTTGATCAATGAAACTGGCAAACAAATTGAATGTCTTTTTTACCCTTTAAAAATAGAGTTCACACTAAACAAAAAAGTCATTTATATTCACCTAATATTTAAAATTTTAAAATACACTATAACTTTATTATTATTATTATTAAATCTTTTCTTATTTGAACTTTATAAAAAGTCCTAAAATTTACGACTTAAAATTCAAGTAAAATTTGCTTTCCATAAACTATTTTAAGTTTTAAATTAACGAGCTTTAATTTACACGTTACTCTAAATTTTGAGAATCTTGCTTCCTTGTTAGTATTTGTTTATTTTTTATTTTGTAACAGTTAGAACGGTTGTTTTTTATTAAATAATTATTCTTAAATATGATAAAATAAATTAAAATGATTATTTTGTCTAATATGAAATTTATTTTTAAAGAATAAAAAAGACAAACGACATTTAACTAAGGGTTTTTATAAATATATTTTTTTTTTGGTAATTAAATCATCGTATTAACCACCAAAGTAAATATTTACAAATCAGTAGGTTATCTCGACCTAACTTCCTTACTGGAAAAAAAAAATTAACTATATATCAGACTACCCTCTAATATCTTCTATATGATTTCTATCTGACTAACTACTCAGTAATTACATATTGCTAGTAAGACACAAGTATATCCCTCAACGCTAATGTTGCACATGCATACTACTCTCCTTGCAAGAACATCCCATGTTATTTTTTGCTCAAATATTCTTGCATTTCTTTCAATCCACAATGTGTACGTGTATTATGCAAATACAATTTTGAGGATTATGGTCATTTGAGATCTCCCTTTTGTCTTATGTATTATCTAATTCTATCATTCTGACCATGAAGATATGATTGGTTGAACTTGTTGCACCACATGGTTCTACCATATGAGCATTCTGCAAAGATATGCTCCATTGTTTCAAGTGCTTGATTGCAAAAACAACATGTTTCATCCACTTACACTTTCCATTTCTTCAACCTGTCAGCAATAAGTAGCTTTCCATGCATTAGTAACCACATCGTGAATAAGAGAAGTTGACGGCAAATAAGAGAAGTTGAATCGGCCGGAGGGCGATCTACTTGTATACTTTTAATATTCTATTCGTATAATGTGTAATTGGTGTGTTCTTCCTAAACATATCGAAGATTTGTAGAATTATTCATTTTCGAACGAAGAAATTACAATGTTAGATTTTGACCGAGACTCATTTACTTGTCTGCTTGAAGGGATAACATTTACAATTTGATTCCAACAAGGAACTATGAGCGAAATCTAGTGTCATTCCTTTAAAGCAATGCTCTTATAAGGTAAAATTTTAATAAACTTTAAAGTCCTAAATATTAGAAATTTCTATCTAATTCAAATAAGAAAAAATTTAATAAATTTTATTTTGATTTTAAGGTCCTAAATATTAGGCAAATAATTTAAATTACAATTTTGTCCAATGTGAAAGTTATTTTTAAAGGGTAAACAAGGTGAACGACATTTCACTAAAGGCGTTCGTGCTTTTAATATATAGTACTAGTCTCATGTACGCGTTTTGCACGTGTAACCTATTTTAATAAATATTAATTTTTAAAAATCATATCAATACTATTGAATCATAGATGCCTGCGTGCAAGTGTGAAGTGTCATTTCGAAAATATTTTTAAAATTTGTTGATCTAAAAAGTCTAATAACTTTGGACATTGAAATAAACTATATCTAATTATAGTATTCATTAGGTATGTATTTTTATTTTGGTACATAAATTTTCTAAAAGAAATATTTGAGTAAAGGGTAATGAAAATATTATTGTATACCTAGAAAATCACATAACTTTCCACAAAAAGTCTTTGTTATTTTTACTAAGGTTATTTTATTATGTAAAATTAATTGGTCTTAATTTTATGATCGGCTATAATTTAATTATGAATAAAAATACAAAAGTTATGCTGATCGACATTATCGACTTTGGTTATAATTTTCAAATATATTAAAATTTTCACACTGCACTTTTAAGGATACTTTAACTAAGATTTATATTTTTTAAGCTCCTTTGTCTTATATTTATATTTTTTAAGCTCCTTTGTCTTATTTATATTTACGTTAGCCATTCTTCAAATAAATACATAATAAAGAGTATAAAAATATTGATATTTGGTTGACCCTTTTTTTTAAACTCTTAGTTGACCCTTAATTTAAATAAATATTGAATTCTGGCAAAATATTTATATTATAATTCTATCTCAAATTGATAAAAAAGGCAAACGATATTTCGCTAAGGACTTTCGTGTTTTTAATATAGTATAGATATATTTCAATGTTAAAAAACTTACTTTATGTTTGTAAAAGTAAATTCATTTTGTATTTATGAACAAACTAACTTGTCCTTGAGCATAATATTATAATTGTTAAAACAAAACTCTCTACACAAAAGGAAAGTCAAATAAAATTTGTACACTCAAATAATTACTGCCGTACTACAATAGAGCTAATCTTGAGAAAACAATTCCAAGATTGAGTGCCAAAGTAAATAACTTTAGGATTTTTTAGGTCTTACTTATTTCAAATAAGGAAGGATTTAGTATGAGAAATTTTAATTGATTTCAAAGTTCTAAATATTAGAAAAATATTTAGTTCTTACTTATTTCAAATAAGGAAGAATTTAGTATGAGAAATTTTAATTGATTTCAAAGTTCTAAATATTAGAAAAATATTTAGTTCTTACTTATTTCAAATAAGGAAGGATTTAATATGAGAAATTGTAATTGATTTCAAAGTTTTAAATATTAGAAAAATATTTAATTCAAATATATGGAATTATAGTTCAAGTATGGAACAATTTAATAAGCAAAATGTGAATAGATTTTAAAGTCCTAACTATTAGGAAAGTAAATTAAATTATATTTTTATTCAATGTAAAATAGATTTTTAAAGGGTAAAAATGGGCGAATGACATTTCGCTAAGGGCCTTCGTGCTTTTAATATAGTATAGATAGATAGAANATTTGTTCCAACCGTATATTTTTTCTTTCTTGCCCCAAATTTGTATAAAAGAACTTTGGTAAAGCTCCACGATTTTTAGTCAAATAAAATATTTTATCCAGAACAATAAAACTTCAATTGTGTATTCTTATTTATTTATTCTTGAGGTGCAATGTCATTTCTTCTTTTTGGGACAAATTTGTAAAAAAAGATTAAGAGGAAATTTCATATTTTCTTGCCAAATAAAAAATAATAGCCATAAGTTCCATAAATTAAATGGCCCATAACTAATGAAGTTCCAGCTAACCTTTTTTTTTATTTTATTTTAAATTTGGACCCAAATAATAATTTTAAAAGATGTTTTACACGTGAAAAAATTAATGAAGTTGTGCGTCCCTCTCACTTCTTTGCGATGGGATCGTTTAAGTAAGCATCAAATAAATGATGTCAAATTTAGAGGAAATTTTAGATATTCTACTTAATCTAAAAAAGAAGATGCCACAAGCTAGGATAATCATACTAATATATTATACACCCTTATAAAAAGTATACTATATTCTTTCCTTTCGATGCTATGTTTTTTTAAGTTTTTTTTGGAGAGAGAAGTAGTTGGTTTTGAGGCAATAAATAAAAATACTTGGCTTACATGTTGAAGTTTGTTTTTAAACAAAGAAAAGGTTTTGGAGAATGGACAAATATCTACATTCCACCACTACCATCACTATACAATAAAAACAATTATTAAAAGTGAAAGATATTTCTTAGTTGGTCTTAACTCTTTCTTTCATACCTTCCATTTAAAAGATTTGATTGTTCAAAATCACCCCATGCATAATTTAGCAACAAAAAGTAGGGATAGAAATAACTATAGTTCCTACAAAAAATAAAAAGATTAATTCGATTTTGACGATCTGATTAAAGATTATGCTATGGGTGAGCCTTGGAGCAACAATAAAACTATTTCCATATGACCTATAAATCACGGATTCGAACCATGAAAACATTCATTAGTGTTTGCATTAGGTTAGACTGTCTATATCACATCACTTAGGGTTGCGATTCTTTTTCGGACCCTGCATAAACGCGAAGTATCTTGTACTCGGGCTGTCCTTTTGATT